CTCTCCATTTGCGCTGCAAGTCGACGTACTTGTCGGGGTTGATCTCCAAACTAGACAACTTCAGCTTCTTCTTGTCGCCTCTAATGCAGAAGCCAACAAAGGTGTACAGCTTCTTCTCCTGCAGGAGCGGGCCGAGTTCCTTGGGCCTGCATCAAATTAATCTGGTGCATCAAATTCATCTACTTCAAAAACTTCAGAAACTACAGAATTATAATGGGTTCAGTTGAAGCAAAATTCAGTTAAAATAGCATCTTCAGTTCTGACCAAAATTCAGTTAAAACAGTATGATCACAACAACTACTAAATGATCACAACAACTACAAGACAACATTCTGTATGATCAAAACAGCAAGCATAACATCTCAATGATGTATTTTTTGCAATCTTTTGCATTACAAGACAACATTCATAACAGCTACTAAATGATCACAAAAACTTGTAGACAACATTCTATATGATCACCAAAAAACTACTAATTAGACAGAAACTTCATAACTTCAGAACTAGTATTGCATCTACTTCAGAACTTCAGAACTATTGCATCTACTTCAGAAACTTCAAAAACTTCAGAAACTACTAATTAAAACGAAACTTCAGAACTTCAGAAACTTCATAACTTCAGAACTAGTATTGCATCTACTTCAGAACTTCAGAACTATTGCATCTACTTCAGAAACTTCAAAAACTTCAAAAACTTCAGAAACTACTAATTAAAACGAAACTTCAGAACTTCAGAAACTTCAGAACTTCAGAACTAGTATTGCATCTACTTCAGAACTTCATAACTATTGCATCTACTTCAGCAACTACTAATTAGACAGAAACTTCAGAACTGGATGTTTTTACCATTTGGTTGCCGCGGTGATGTGGTATACCAGGACGAGATCCTCCACGCATAACTGCAGAACTGCAGCAATTTGCGGAGGTTTGTCTTCCCTGGTATACTCGACATCAACGCCGATATTCTGAGAAAGCATGCCGCCGAGCCTCCTCCTCATCTTGCGGATCATCTTGTCGGCTTCGTCTGGATTGCTGGTGCATATGACATCCAGCGGCTCCTTCAGGTGGATATCAACCTTGAGCGGCACGGTGTAGTCCCGCTTCTGCCCGGGGACCGGAACGTCGTCGTCGACCACCAGCGGCTCCTTGCCAGACGCCTCACCACGGTGATGCTTGGCAGACGGAGAGGAGTTGCTCCACGATGCCTCCGCCATTCTCTTGGCAGACGGAGGGGAGTTGCTCCATGATTCCTCCGCCATTGCCCTCCTGGCCAGCGATGGTGGAGGCAGAGGGGAGTTGCTTGATGCTGGAGGCAGAGGAAGGTAGAGGGAGGAAGATGGAGTGGCAATGGAATGAGGAGGGAGGCAGAGGGAGGAAGATGGAGCGGCAATGGAATAGGAGGGGAGTTACCTGGACGTGGGAAGAAAACCCCCTCTACGTCGTGGGGAGTTGCCAGTGGAGGGGAGACGTGGGGAGTTGCCTCGAAAACTCAAACGTCCTGCCCTTTGGAGGGGAGACGTGGGCCCTCGAAAACTCCAGAGGGGATACATGGGCCCTCCTGTTTCAGAAACGTCCAGGAGGGGAGACGTGGGCCCTCCTGTTTCTGAAAACTACACCTATATCTGACGAAACTGAAGGTGTTCTTCAGCAGCTGATTAAAATTCAGTTAACAACAACATCAGTAAAATTCAGTTAATTAACTGAAGAAGAGAAGAGAGAAAGTAGAGAGCAAGAGGAGTACTTGCATTAACTGAAACGTTTTACTTTAAACTTGCATGCATTCTTTGCTTGTTTATATTCATTCTTGTAAACTGAACATGCTCATCTATCTATCTATCTATCTATCTACCTGCTTAAGTATGTATGTATGCATTGTATTTTATTTCCTTTGGAAAGTAAAGTTTATTTCCTGGCTGGCTGGCTGGCATGATGGCTCATGGATCCCTCAGCTGCAGCTACAGTTGGAGCTCAATCTGATCTCATCTGAAATGAATCTATAAACACAGAGTGTAGTTAATTACATAGTAGCAGAAATAGTTGCTGGATGCAGTTACTTGCATGGGCCTGGCTGATGAAGAAAAACTTTATATATATTCATACTGATGTTGACTCTATAAATCATATTTATTGGACATGTTTTATGTGTTGATCCATCAATTGATCACATTGAGAAAGACCATCGTGTCTCCGACCATTTTGCAAAGGTCATGTCTCCGACCATCGTGTCGTGATGAATTTGCAGGTACCCCGAGAGGCCCTTGAGTTTGTCGGAATGTTGATTAACTTCCGTTCCGGTAAATTCGGGTACTCCATATGTCCTATTTTCAGCAAAGGTCATGCTGAAATTTTCCGTGAATTTTAGCATGACTTTGCTAAAAATATGACATATGGGGTACTTGCGACTAATGCATGGGCCGGGGTATCTTAGTACTTAGTTAAGTAGGATCAACTGCCCCACCATTCTTGCTGCATTAAACCATAGGTGGCAATAGAGCCAAGTGATTAGGCCCAACTTAGAATTCTCCTTAGCATCGATAAACCCTAGATGATAAACCCAACATAGGTGGCAATAGAGCCAAGTGATTAGTGCCAAGTGATTAGGCCCAACCTAGGGTGCCTCGGCATCGATAAACCCTAAATGATTAAAACTTAACTTGTCTGCCCCGGATGCCTCGGTGTCGATGAGAACCTAAATGATGTACGCTTAGGCTTTTAGGGTGCCTCGACGTCGACAAATCCTAAATGATGAAAGCTTAGGCTTTTAGGGTGCCTCGGTGTCGACAAACCCTAAATGATGAGACCATGATCTTGTTCCTTGACAATAACCAACTTTTTGACCAAACTTTTTTCCTATTTAGAGCGAAACATGGCCCACAACGATGAGGCTGGTGGTTCGGGCGGCAAGCAATTCTGGGAGCTGTCCCAGGAGACGAAGGAACAACCTCACCGCTATGAGGACGCCGCGGAAGACACCGATCCTGATTACACAACCCCTAGTGGCGTCGGGGATGACACCACTGATGGTGCCGCCGAGGATGCCACCACTGATGATGGCGACGCACACACAGATGGCAGCCAATCGAAGAAGCAAAGGAAGGATCGGCGTCCGAATGCGCTCCGCACCGTCAAGGAGGAATTCACTCAAGTACAAGGGTAAGGTTCCCGGAGTCTACGACGACTGGGAGGAGTGTCGGAGACAGGTTCACCGTTTTAGCGGTAACAGTTACAAAGGGTACACCACTAGGGCGGAGGCCGAATCTAGATATGCCCGCTATCTAGCGGGAGAGAGGAGGGAGCGTTGGAGGAACCGGATGAGGACCAGTTTGATTGCGATGATGCTCATCGTGATGACCACAACTCTCTTTTATGTGATGGTAGTTTAGATGATCGATATCGACTTGTAATGTGAAGACAAACTCGATACTCGCGGTCTTGAGACTTGTAATGTTTTATCTTTGTTCGGTCTTTTGAATTCGGAGACTAATATGATGATTGTATTCGGAGACTAATCTTCTATTGTATTCGATGAATCTGATGTCGCTGTGTGCTGCTGTCTATATTCTGTCCAATAATATATTTTGTAACCTGTGCAAAAATCAGAAAAGCAAAAAAACAAACAAACAAACAAATATTCATACTAATGGCGCATCAAGGCAAAGTACGCCATTAGTATGCCAAAGGATACTAATGGCGCATCAAGGCAGAGTGCGCCATTAGTGTGACAAAGCACATGGTTACATATGACCCCCCGGGAGGCATACTAATGGCGCATGGAATTACACACTAATGGCGCACTGCCAGGTGCGCCATTAGTATACCAGATACTAATGGCGCACCAGTGGTGCGCCATTAGTAAAAAATTCTAATGGCGTGCTACTAATGGCGCACCGGTAGTGCGCCATTAGTAGGCAAAACCGATGCGCCATTAGTAGGCCTTTTCCTATTAGTGGATGGAAGACGCCATACCTCTCTCTCATGACATCGTCGTTGCCCCAACACCCTTGTCATAGAGCTGGTCGTGCAAGTTGTTGTTGGGCATGAGTATGGCCACGTGGGACTCAAAACCGCAGTTTCAAAGTTATAGGACTAAACTTACACACCTCCAATAGTTTTAGGGCCTAAAACTATAGTTTTAAAGTTACAGGACTAAACTGACACACCTACAATAGTTTAGGGTCTAAAGCTGCAGTTTCAAAGTTATAAAACTGAAGTGACACACGTTTAATAATTTTTGGACTTACGATGCATTTTACTCTCGAGTTGTACCCTCTCTATGAAAAAAGCAATTGCATTGGTTTACACTGCCTTTCAGTAACGATTTAGGCCACTTAAGTTGCAGAATTGCTTAATGCCTAGTCTACTAACTCTTTTTTACTAGAAATACAATACAAAATAGACGCTAGCATACTCGCATGCCCATTCATTCATATGAACATGAAAATTTGAGTCGACGGATCTTGAGATTGACGAAGTGACGAGAAATGTCTTGTACTAGTAGACAACCACACTATAGGGACACATCATAACACCATTTCGACGATTTTATTATGCAGTTATGTGATTCTAGTAACTTCAGGGAGGATTTTTGCAGAATTTCCTGTATTAGCCGAGGCGCACAAAACGTCGCGTGCTCAACATGCGAGCACATGGTCAACCCTCTCGAACGCGATCAGAGAAGTTAATGGACTAGTCCATATCATTCTGCAACTTAGTGGACTAAGTGATTTTGTGGTACAAGTTCCCGTGTCTCTAGTGCAATTACCTCTAAAAAAGTATGTACAGTTCCTTTTCTTTTCTGGAGTGCGTACTATATTAATACACAGGAGGAACCAATGGCCACACAAGTGATTGCACAACCCAGCAAGCTTATATACAGGTTCATACTACATTATTTCTTGAGATGTACAATCTCATAATATACATAAATAATGGCACTGTCAATCGTAAATCCAGAAAAGAAAAGAACTGTACATCTGTATTACACACACCAGCGTGGAGTCCTAGTAGCTACTGTGCAATGATCCATTTGCCCTAAGGCGAAGGAACCGCATCAGGTCGACATAAACATCATCTTTGGCCTTCACGCTCATGACGAAATCAATGTGGCCGTAGCCACCAATGTACATCAGCTCTGGCGTAGATCTCAGCTCTTTGACCGTACGCTCAACATCGGTGACATCAGCCAATGCATCAAGACCACCGTATCCCATCCACATTGGCAGTGATTCCGGTATGCTGCTTAGGTCAAACGGAGGGGGTGACAGCCGACCGTAACGCCTTAGGTTTCCCAACAATCCGTAGTCATACCTTGCGAAAGTGCCTTTCCTGATCACTGCATAGACGAAATAAAATCCCTGCTTTAAGATGACTGGAAAGACTGTTCTAATTAGCCAGTAATTATTTCTGCAAGCAACACTCATGCTTTCAGAAATGAGCTAAATTCAATATCATAGCAACAAAGGAAGTTGTATGCTCAACTAACGAAACAGTCATAATTTTAGCAGCAAAGCAACTGCAACTAATGAAACTCTGTAGAGTTGCCTTAGTTAATTCATACTGTTTGGTACTTTGATGCTGGTCCAAGCACAAAGTAAATAGCAGTTGGGTTGATACTAACGAACTTGGATGGTATTCAAGTGAACTGAAAGCTTTTAATGCTACGTACCATAACTGGGAATCTTTTAGTAGTGCATAAGAGCATCTTCAACAGAGGCGCTATATAAGCCGCGCGCTGGGAAAGATGCCTATATAGCGCGCGCGCGACCAAAAACAACGCTCCAGCAGAAGCTGTAAAATAGAGCACGCACAAAAACGGAGCTGTAAATTTAGCGCACGCGGGCTGCGGGGCTGCAAATTTAGGGCGCCGGCTTGTGCGTGCGGGCAGCTGCATGTGGGGCCGCCAGGTTGGGCGCCGTGTTTTTGTGCGTCTGGTAAACCTCCCATGCGCAAAAACACTATTTCAGCGCTGCAAAAAAAATTTAGCGTGCCGCGCTACCATGCGTCTGTTGGAGATGCTCTAACCAATTTCTCAATTTGGAATTTTGCTTGTTGCTATTTGATGCTATGCATCATAACTGGGAATCTTTTAGTGGTGCATAACCAATTTCTCAATTTGGAATTGTGCTTGAGCTCATAGCAACAGGTACTCTTGTGAGGTTTTTTCCAGATAAAATGATAAATAAATAATAACCTTTCTCTACCGTGGACTAAAGTGAATGGTAGAAGTATGCCATATTTTCGTTATCATCCATCAACTTCTCAGCTGTGCTGAGCTGATCTTTATAAACTATTCTCCTAACAGTACCCAATCAACTTCGTACCTCAAACTGGTACAAACGCATATCCTAATCAAGTGTTAAGTTTACTAGCTACTCGACCATGTCTGAACAGTTGGGGAAGCGATTGAAATCCTCACCATTGGTTGTGCAAATCTACATCATCCAATGGTCTTGGAGATTATACATCCACCATCACAGCTATGAGATGGCAGATGGGAAGAGTCCTGGGTTACTGATACATGCTTGGACAATAATGGTCCATGGAGGGAATTCTATGCGATGCCACTCTAGAAACCACTCTTTCAAATTCCTACAGCTATAAATCAATTAACTTGCCTGCATTCTACACTTTTAAGATTATGGAGATGAATGCCCATCAGAAAGATCAAAAGTGCTTGCATGCAAGCGCAAGTGCATAACATATTCAAAAGGATTGAAGAAATGGAGGCTGATGTATGCACTGTTTGCAACTCTCAGTTATAAACTACTCCCTCCGTATCGAAATATAAGACGTTTTTGTAGGCTGTACAGAGGTAGTACAAAGTAAGGGAATATAATGTTCCAAGACATATTGTCTAAACAACTTAAGAATTAGACATGAGAAAACGTACTCTGAAAAAGATGATGCAAATTTTTAGTTGATGATGGATGAGGTTCATACTCCAAGTAATGGTCAATCCGCGATCCATTGAAGCAACAATTTTCCCCTGAAAAAAGTAAATGAATTAAATCAAAACAACAAGAAATTAAGAATGCAGTTCAAATATACCACAGCATAAGCAGTCAGCACAGCTAAAATGTGTTAGTTCATTCATCAACATCCCTTATGATGTGATCTATTTAGATCTTAAATAGGTAATTCTATTCGTGTGCATTTCCAATGAAGAGAGACACTAACTTAGAACAGACAGTTCAACTTTGTTTCAGGATGTAAACTTGTGTGCCACTATCAGAAGTACCATGGCATGTGAATTCTACTATTACTGAAACTTGAAACAGAAAGTTAACTTGGCGGTGGCTCAAATATGCCACAGCATAAGCAGCCAGCACAGCTAAATTGTGTTAGTTCATTCATCTACATCCATGATGTTGTGATCCATCTAGATAATTAAATGGGTAATTATATCTCAGTTCTAATAAAAAAGGATACTACTAGCTTAGAACAAACAGTTTGACTTTGCTTTGAGATGTAAAACTTGTGTGCCACTATCAGAAGTATCATGGAATGTGAATTCTACAATTACTGAAACTCAAAATAGAAATTTAACTGCACTCTTGAAATTAAACTCAAAACTGAGAATGTCAGTACTCTAATTGGATGAGAGCAGACCCCCGATAAAAGTTCAAGCATAACCTGGCATGCACAGGAACTGGTCTAGGCTCCACAAATTAACATAACATTGTTGACATGCCTTTTAAACACCTAATCTTGCAATCCATCACCATTGCCATCAAATCTGTCTGTGTGATAATATATGGTGCATTATTACGACATCGAATCTGTCCGTGATAATCCACCATCATCATCTGGAAGCAGCGAACGCTGCTGCCTTCAACAGTGACAAACCCGGCATCGTTATGCTGGTAGACAAAGGCAAGTTTGTAGGGTAAGGCAGGTGTGACTGGCCTACAGGTGTCATCACCGGCGGAGCTTACCGCTTAAGGCGTGGTTCGTGTTCTGGGTGTTTCAGTCTATTCAAAGGCCCGTTGACATATTACTTTTTCTATCTATCGAGTTATCAGACACAAGACTATTGCATTTTCTCAAGATAAAAATTGTGAGCACAAATGCCTTACAAGCTCAGTAGCTTATAATATACACAGTTTCAGTATCTGGATTATTCGGGAATGGTTATGTTCTAGTGCATATAAAATGTGTGTTTGGACAACAGAACAGTAGAACTCAAGCAATATCAAATTTAGGCCAATCTCATCTTTTCTTTATAGCAAGTAAAAATCTATAACAAATCCGAAAGAAACAATATAATACCTGTTATCGAAGACAGCAAATTGTTGCAGTCCACATGTCCATCATCGCATATAGAATCTACTATTTGAACTCCCATATCGCTGTTCATCGAGTTGGACAATTACAATTACACCCAAAGAGAAAAAAAGGAAGGCTCGGGAAAGAAGTGCCATACCTCCGGAAGTTCAGCTGATGGAAGCCCATGGTAAGAAGCATCTATGTCAAAGCTCACCATAAGTCAGTTTGGAAGTTATGGCATTTATTTGGTGGATTTATTCAAAGAATAGTAAAGCACCTGGTCAAGATGCATGCCAACTGCTCTGAGAACAAAACTAGCACTAACATGATCAAGGTAAGAAATTGGACAAAGAAGTGCAGCAGCGCTAATCATCTTTGTGATTTCAGGCAATGTAAAAGCAGCCAAACCCATAATAGTTCCCTACAAGAAAAGGAAAATATTTATTATCACAAATTTTTGGATTCACAACAAACATTTCTCAATCGAACCCCAAACAGCTTACCTGTGAATGCCCCACATACAAAATTTTGGACTGCCTAACTGTATACACGTAGCTCAACATTGCCAGAAGATCATATTCAGCAAGCTCTTGCCAGCTCCAATCCCAGAAAAGCTGCAAAGCTCCCACAGGATTTGGTCAGAATCAAAGAGTAGAACTAGTTTGTAGTTGCTGAGCTGTGTTGTGCTGTCCGCACAATGAAATCTAGTTACATACAGGAACTTTACTAACTGCATTTATTATGGCTAGAATGTGCTTACAACTGTATATCCAAAACTAGAAAAAGCTTCGGAAAAGCTCACCGCTGACAAGCGAGCCTAAACCATAGGGACCATGGACAGGTCAGGAAGCACATTATGATCTGTATTTGTGTCTTAAAGCACCAAAAGCAGGCATGTTATGCAATTTCATCCACAATTTCAATAATGAAAATCTTCCGAGTAACTTCCAGGTTCTATAGAGGTCAACTCAAATTATTTTTGCTACCATGCAATTGGGTGAATGATCAAATCAGAAGACTTACTGTACATACCCAATTCATTCCTTGTTTGCAGAAAGTGGTGTTCATTATGTAACTTCCTATAGAGTATACTCACCTTATCATGCACAGTGAAAGTTGAATGGCCTTTACTCCAACGTGTTCCACGAACATTTCCAATCCAAACATCGAAGCCATTATCAGCAAGGATATATCCAAGCGACTGTTCAACAGAATTTATGAACCATGTGTCTCCTCCCTGTCAAGGATATAGATAAAGCAAAAACATTTAAAAATAGAGGCTGATGCGATTGAGCAGTGATTATGGCAATTGAAGTTTGAAGATAAGAACTGCATTATCTAATGAAACATCCAGGTATGGAACAAATTGCAACTGTAACACGATATAATCAAAAGCTAAGTAAAGATGGCTGTAATGAGAAAGAACCTGAAAAAGACCATGTTGAAGAAAAACTGGAGGTCCAGTATTGTCTGCAACTCCATTTTTGCCATGTGGAATATGCTGAAGAGACAGAAGAAAGCCATCGTTTGTTTCAACCTAAAAAGGCAAAAAAATTAGGATCCATATACAAAAGAGTGCCAGCTACTCTACATGTCAGTAACAGGGGGAGCTTTCTGTTACAATTCATACTTGATGAACTTTAAAAGCAGGAATGGAAGGAAAAGAAGGACATTAAGTTTTTAGAAAAGGTTCATGGCGTTTGGCAAAATTCCTTCAAGACTAATTGATATAAATACACGTACACATTAGTTTTGGCCAGCGAGAAGCTCTCACTATAGGATATTAATAGTGTTTTAAATCGAAATATCAAGACCCCTCTTTCTTCCCTCTGGCGTCACCGTGCGCAGAAGCGCCACCACCATGTACCATGTGGTACCAGGATGATTGTGCAGTCAATGATTTGTCAATAGTTGGTTACATTATCGCAAGACATCTGTGCTAAAGAAATGAACCTGCAAGCGGGTATTTGCACCATAGAATGGTGTCAGCAAGTCGGAGCCATATCACAAGCCAGCTTTAGTGGAAGTATGTTTACTCAAGATGGATGTGACAATGCCTACTGTAGAGCTGTGTCCTGAAACTAGGAATCGAAGAAGAGGAGTGTAAGCACAGTCAGCCAGTACGCTTGTCTTTTGCTTGGAGTTGAAACAAAGGATATGGGCTACTACTTTGCCTGAGAGTAGTAAAGGAGCTCCATGACACAAGTAATTGCTGCTCCAGTTGACACACTCTTACATTTGTTGCTTTTTTTTTCCTACGACGATTGCATTTTCTTCTCTTGGAGCGGGACTTGAGAAACACACTTTGGTGGCTCTACACAAGCCCAACTGGGACCAAAATAGTATCTCAGCCATTTCATTTTCACCTGGCAAGAAAACAGAAGGACACTGCCGTGTGAATGCACGCAAGCCTACGTACGGACACAGAATAATTCGGCTCTCCCCGATCTACCTTGGTTGCTAGGCTAGCTGTTCGATTACTATCCGGAGACAATCGTGGCTTAACTCCATACGGATAAGTCAACGAGTAAACAACCCTCCCTCCCCCCTTCCATTCGCTTCGCTGGGGGAAATGGTTGAAATTGGTACAAGAAGCACGAGAGTAATCACCAGTGGAGGAACCGAGAGGGGAGGGATGGGAGGAAGAGGAAGATGTGTAGTACTCCATATACTAGCAGCAGGGAACGTACGTACGGTGTGCTCGGTGCACGGGTAGCCCAGCGGCAGGAGCAGCTGCCCGCAGAGTCCGCCGCCGCCGTCGCCGCGCGGCACGGCGTGGCGGAGGGCGGAGGAGGCGTGGGCCGCGCCGGAAACGCAGGAGCAGAGGAGGAGGAGGAGGGTCAGAGCGAGCGCGGCGGCGGCACCTCCTCCCGGGACCGCCATCTCCGCCGGTCGGGAGTCGGGAGGGCGGAAGCGGCGGGTCGAGGGCAGTTGGCATTACCCACGCAACACGAGCGAGATTATACTAGTACTACAAAATGTTTTATTTGGGCACCCGCACGGTTTTTGTTTCGGGAATGGCTAGCACTTTTTCATCTCTTGTCAGTCGCCGCCCGCAGCCGGCACCACCTCACCGCCCCGCCTTCCCGGGAACCACTCCTCATCGCTGGTCCGGTACCGCACCGGCCATCCCTCTAGGCCCCCCGCGCCGAGCTTTTTCTCCGGTGAATTCCCACGCGACCGCCCACCACCGCGCCCCCCACCGCCGGCGACCACTGCCCCCGCCCTGAACACTAAGATAGATAGTGAGGTAGCCTCTCCGGCGAGCCCCCCTCCCCTCCCCGCTGCGACTGGTGACGATGACATGTACCTAGGGTAGGGTCTTAGGCCTGACCTACATGCCCTTTTCAAGGACATCACAGAAGAGGCCAAGGCCTACAAGGTTTAACAGAAGATACCGACTGAAATCCTCATGAAGTGCAATCCACTCGACAAACGATTCCACTCAGATATCCCAATTCCACTCGACCGTCGTTATGTCACTGGAAGACAAGAATCCACTCGAAAGACAGAAGGCCTAAGGTCACCTGTAGATAGCAACGGCCGGTCATTCCCTCCGCCACCATAAAGGTCATTAAACATAGGCGTTACCAGTAACGTACATGACTTTACTCCCTCATTGCACCCTTGCGTAACTGAGGACGATGAGGGGTCGGCGCACTCTATATAAGCCACCCCTCCCCTCTGGCACAAGGGTTCGCACCCCCTTAACTCAACACTCCAATCAACAAGCCTCCATGGCACCGAGACGTAGGGTTGTTACCTCCTTCGAGAGGGGCCTGAACTCATAAAACCGAGTGTACAACTTCGGCGTAGCTAGGACTCTGCCCTCTCCTACGTACCCCCTATCTATACTGTCAGATCTGTTCCCACGATAGTTGGCGCCCACCGTGGGGCAGGCGTCTTAGCAACTTCCGGCGAGGTTGCGATCTTCGATTTCCTTCGACATGGTTTCCGGTGGTGGATTGTCTCTAGGCCGCGAGATCCGTCTCGGCGCGCTCGCCTTCATCGCCGATGATTCGGCCTGGCTTCAGGAGGCCCCCCTCGACGTCGAGGCACTCCCTATTCATGGGGTAGCGCACTTTCGCGCGAGTGCCTGCGGCATCCTCCTACGGCAGTCGTCGAGTCAGTATCGGTCGGCTCCCATGGCGTCTTCGCTTCCCACGGCCCGTCGCCGCAAGAAATCCGGTCGCTCGCGGCTCTAGCGGTTGGGCGAAGCACGCGGTGGCTCGTCAGTCGGACACACCTCAAATTGCGGCAATCGAGCCCGGTGAGTCCCTTTATGGCCTGTTCGATCTATCGACTGGCCACTCGGATACCCTTTCTTAGTGCGAAAGCAACGACCCTGCGCCGGAGGTCCTCATGGTTGGTTCACAGCGCAACCCATCGGGGTTTCCCTGTGGTGCGGGTGGTAGCGGCGGTCCGTCGCGCGACAATGACGCATACCATCCAGAAGCCCTCACTGCAGAGCAGAGGGAGAAGTTGAAGCGCAGACATGATCAGGCCTTGGAAGCTCTCCAGACCCCCGTCGTCGGGGAGATCCCCGAGGCTCGGGCCTTGGAGGTTGCGCGCGTAGCCACTCTGGCTGAGCGTGCACGCTTGGAGGATCTTCAGCAAGCACTCAACGACCGCGCTCGCAGACATATTCCCAGTTCCAGTCGACGGCATCGGCAATTGTTTCCGACTGGACCTCAGGATGAGTGTCCGATATACCGAACTCCGATCCAGAATGTTGCAGCAGATGCGCGTATTGCAGATTCAATCTAGCCGTCCTGTTCCGAAGCTGGAAGAGGCTTACAGCAGATTAGGGCGCTGCTCAAGGAGGTCGGGGAGCAGAACTTAGATGTTTCTCAATCATGCAATAGGATTCACAGCAGGTCAGTCGTGGCAGACATAGTTCAGTCGGCACAAAGCCCGAGATCGCCTCCGTGGCGTGAAGATCGTGGTTATCGCCAGGACCAGCACCTGCGACGAGGCCACGGGTAGTTTGACCCTCGATACCACCGTGATGACCGCCATCGTGTGCCTACGCCCCCTCCAAGGGGTGGTTCGTATGCGCCCCGGCGGTATGATGACAGGCGTCCATACGGCGACGAGCGGAGGATCCTAGTCGACCCCCGAGAGCCCGGGTTTGATGCAAGGTCAGTCCTTGTGCAGGGCCTGGTTGACAGAGGCAGAGCTCACAAAGAAGGTTTGGACAGAGATTACCTGAGTGGGAACAGAGCGTATGTCTCTGGACCCGAGTGTTTCAGTAGAGCCATACGAGCTGCTGAGATTCCTCCCAACTTTAGATTGGCTGCAGGAGTAAGCAAGTTTACAGGCGAGTCAAAGCCAAACACGTGGTTGGAGGATTACTGAGTGGCAGTGCAGATTGGTGGTGGCAATGATGAGGTAGCCATGAAGCATTTGCCCTTGATGCTTGAAGGCTCAGCTAGGGCCTGGTTGAATCAGTTGGCTCCTGCCAGCATATTTTGTTGGGAAGACTTGGCCCAAGTGTTTATCAAGACATTTGAAGGCACTTGCAAGCGTCCCGCTGGGTTGTCTGGGTTGCAACATTGTGTCCAGAAGCCGAACAAAACTTTGAGGGATTACATCTAGCGATGGACTACACTTCACCATCTGGCGGAGAATGTTTCAGAGCACCAAGTAGTCTGCGCTTTCAAGGAAGGCGTATGGTATAGAGAGCTCACACTGAAATTTGGTCGCTCCGGGGCCATGACTCTGAATCGGATGATGGAAATAGCCACTCGGTACGCCAATGGTGAAGAGGAGGTCCAACTCTATAATGGCAAGGGGAAGACAGTCAACCCCGATGCTAGAGGCGGAAATCCTAGTTGGAAGCAGAAACGCAAGGCTAAAGCCGCAGGCCAGGCTGAAGCTGCAGTGATGAATACCCAAGGGAAGTTCAAGGGAAAGCCCAAAGGACAATGGGTACCCAAGAAGATGAAGGATTGGTCAGGCCAGGATGTCCTCGATTTATCGTGTCCCATTCACACGAAGAAGGATGAGGAAGGCAACTTGATTGTGCCTAAACACACCACTCGACAATGCAGAATCCTTATCCAGCAGTTCCGTCAAGGGCAGTAGAGTGAGAAAAGCTCTGATAAGGATGAAGATGAAGAAAAGGCAGATTATTACCCGAAGGTCAATGCAACTTTGATGATTTTTGTTGACGTTGAGAGCAAAAGTTGACTGAAAGTCATCAATAGAGAGGTGAACATGGTTGCTCCGGCAACTACAACATACCTCAAGTGGTCAAAGACTCCTATCACCTTCGATCAGTTGGATCACCCAGCTCACGTTGCTACCTCCGGGCGACAAGCTTTGGTGGTCGACCTAGTGGTTGGAGGCACTCGATTGTGTAAAGTTCTCATGGATGGTGGCAGTGGATTGAACATTCTGTATGCAGAAACCCTCCAGGGGATGGGCATTATGATGTCCCGACTCAGTGAGAGCAACATGCAGTTCCACGGGGTCATACCAGGGAAGAAGGCGAAATCACTCGGGCAGATTGCTCTAGATGTGGTTTTCGGTGATTCAAAGAATTTTTGCAAGGAAAAGTTGACATTTGAAGTGGTAGATTTCCACAGTGCCTATCATGTTATCCTGGGCAGGCCGACGTATGCTCGTTTAATGTCCCGTCCATGTTACGTGTATCTCAAGCCGAAGATGCCTGGGCCTAAAGGTGTGATCATGGTCACTGAGAACAGACAGAGAGCAGAGGAGTGCCTCCAAAAGGGGTCCAAGATCGCTGATGAGAAAATGGCAGTGGTTGAACTGGAAGAATACAAGAAGAATGCAGATCTGAGTGATTTGCTCCGTTCCAAGAAGCCTGCTTCAGAGTTTGCATTTCAGTCGGCCGATGAGATGAAACCAGTTCACATTCACTCGGAAGATCCCACAGCTGCTCCGACCCACATCTCAACGACACTCGACAGCAAATAGGAAGCCACGCTCATCTAGTTCCTCCGTGAGAACTGGAACATCTTCGCATGGAAACCATTAGACATGCCAGGTGTACCCAGGGGACTGGCTAAGCACCGTTTGCGTGTCGACCCTAAAGTTAAACCTATCAAGGAACATCTTCGTCGGTCCGCCTCGGAGAATAGGAAGGCGATTAGCGAGGAAGTGGCTCGGCTCTTGGCAGCTGAGTTCATCCGTGAGATATACCACTCCAAGTGGCTCGCCAACGTCATCATGGTTCCCAAGAAATATAAGTCGCTTTGTATGTGCATTGACTTCAAGCATATCAACCAGGCCTGCCTGAAAGATCATTTTCCGCTCCCCCACATCGATCAGATAGTCAACTCGACTGCGGGGTGTGAGCGTTTGTCTTTTCTAGATGCATATTCCAGATACCGTCAGATCCGACTGTTCAGGCTAGATGAAATAACAACAACCTTCATCGCCCCATTCGGGTGTTTTTGCTATGTCATCATGCCTTTTGGTCTAAAAACGCTGGGGCCACATTCATGCACATGATTCAGAAGTGCCTGCTCACTCAGATCAGTTGGAATGTGGAGGCGTATATGGATGATACCGTGGTGAAGTCACGCAAAGGTTCCAACCCGCTGACTGATCTTGCTGAAACCTTCGCCAATCTGAGAAGGTATGACATTAAGTTGAATCCGTCTTCAGAGTACCCAGTGGAAAGTTACTCGGTTTTCTTGTTTCTGAACGAGGGATAGATGCTAACCCCGAGAAAATTGGTGAAATTCTCCAAATGAAACGCCCTGTGCGTGTGCATGACGTTCAGAAGCTCACAGGTTATCTTGCTGCATTGAGTCAATTTATTTCATGTCTCGGTGAGAAGGCGCTGCCTCTTTACTGACTGATGAAAAAGTCCGATACATTTGAGTGGACTCCCGAAGCCGAAGCAACAT